AGTGAATTTCAAGACACAAATAAACCAAATATATATTTTTTAATTCTGCTTTACATATACAGGGTGTCCCCCAAAAATATATATACACACTCATTCCTATAGAATCTCTTAAATTTTGAAAATGAACTGTATGTTAATAAACACTGACTTTATAATCACTCCAGGTGTATACGTTTTTTGGGAGACACGCTGTGAGTGGATAAAGGTATTTGGAATTTTAAAGTTAAGTATCAGTCACTATACACTTTGAAGCAGAGTAAAGTGATAAGGAGATAAAGGGTCTCACTATAATTGTCATTTAATTTTTTTACACCTGAAAGGCAGATAAACCACTTTGATTTGCAAGAGTAAGAAGACTTTTGTCCATCCCCTACCCTTGGCTCTCTCATTCCACGCAAGAGAGGACCTGTATGTCCTTATAAAGGCATTCTCTACCTTCACATGGCAGTTCTTTTCAGACAGCTGTATTGGCTAAATCATACTTTTCTAGTTACCTGATTACAAAATAAAAAGCAACTAACCCTAACTTCGAACCACTAAAAAGGAGTTTATTTCTGATTTACGGCTTTCAGATATTTTCTGTGAACAACAACACCGAATGTGGGAAGTTACTGGAGGAAATCAAATGTGCGCTTTGCTCTCCATATTCTCAGAACCTGTTCCACTCACCTGAGAGGGAAGCCTTGGACAGAGACCTAGTCCTCCCCCTGCTCTGCAAAGACTATTGCAAAGAATTCTTTTACACTTGCCGAGGCCACATTCCAGGTAAAAACGCATACATTACATCAACTGCAGAATGTCCTTCCAAGATGCCTGTCCTTCAATGCTTGCATCCAGGAGTGTAAAATGTATCTCATCGTTCAACAAATCGATTCTTTCCTCATAACTAACCTTTTCAAATTTGAAAACTTTTATTGCTGCTAAATGGGATTACTGTCATTTCGGTCCACAAGTAGTACGTTGGTTTTGTTGAAATGTTCTGCTTTTTGTTGTTGTTGTGAAATCGGTAATACAGTCGGTGATCTTTACACGTGTTAGATTATCAGTACAAATTTCTTATTGGTTTCTCCTTTACCCATCTACATCAATATCAAGGCAGCCTCCCCCTCTACACAGTGGACACATAAATGCAGATTGTCCACTGACTTTTAAGGTATTCCCTTAAATAAGATACAATTCAAAATCCAAAAAAAAGTAAAGCCTTACAAAGCACTTTGACATTTGATGACTAATTTGCACTTCAGAAACCCTGGGAGATAGGTAGGAATTGTCCACTTGATTGATAGGACACCTGAGGCTCTGGAGGCGTGAAATGCCTCCCCGCAAGTTGTGCAGTGAGAAAGTGAGAGGGTGCACAGAGAAGTTCTCATGCTGACAGTCATCCAAGTCTACCTGGTCACTATCATTTTTGGACCCTAATAAACATATACATTCTTGGGTATTGATTAATTTTACCATCAAATGTTTGTAAGCTTTGGTTGTTGGTCCCTACACGGACGAATCAATATAGAGGTAGAAAAGAATTTAAGGAGGCAGCTTTAGTTTAGTTAGGCAAAGTCACACACAAACAAATCTGGAGCTAACAGTGTAGAAAACCCCATGGCACTGGAGGCAAGCTTTAAGAACTCTGGGATGCACTTAGATAACTTTTTTTTTTTTCATTGCTATGCACATTTCACTTTTTTCTCTGACCCAAAGGTGTAGATTTCCTTTTGGGGGGGGGGCATTTTTTTTATAGAGCCCTCTTAATAACCTAAGAAAACATTTTGACTAGGGTTGCTTGCTTCCTTTGGTGTAGCATAACATGGATCTAAACCCACTCGATGTGAAAATATTATTATTGTCTTTATAAACTACAGTCATGTTTCGAAGGCTTTTTTTAAGCCAGCTGTTTCTCCCTCTTTATCACATTCCCCAAAGCAAAGTAGAATAGGTCACGGTTGCCTCGATGGCCTGTCGAGAAGCGATAACAGATTAGGTCCCATAAAGGCCTGCTGCAAATTTCAAGTCTTGAAGGTTCGCCTTGACCACCGTAAGCTGAGTGTGATATGAACACTTAGCATTTTCATCTACCTCCTTCTACTTGAGTTCAAGACAACCAGGCTAGATTTGGGAACTCATCTATGGGGGTCTTCCTGCATCTGAAGTTATTTTAGCTTCCAAAACAAACAACAGAAAGCGATACCCACTGTCAGAGGGAGCACAGCAAACAGCTCAGGAGCCAGAGCGGCAAGCACCTCACTCCCCAGATCAACATATGTGGTGACGAATGACAAATTTATTTTTCTACCGAGTTTGTATATATGTAAAACTGCTGAAGTGCATCAAGATGTCAAGTGCTTTTGGTGGCCACCCAGGCTGCCTTGAAAGATAACCAGATGAAAGCTCCACTCCAGTGGTGGATGGAGCAGCCAGGGCGCTTCCCAGGGACAGGCTAGCAGGCTGCAGCCACTCGCAGAGGGGGCCTTCCTCTGGACCCATCAAATGCAAATAATCGCTCTAAATACAGGTCCCCAAAGTAAGCTGTAATCACACTATTTGTGTTCCTTATGTTGACCAGTTTGTTAGCCAGACTGATCCTTGGCACACAGGTTACCATTTCCTAAAGTATGATGAATAGGATGGTGACCCTCCTTCCACCCTTCCCCCAAACCCAGAAGACTCTAGTATTCTAGAGCCTTGATTTTTCAGAAGTTGCTTAAAAAGCCAGTTTGTAATATTTTCGCCTTAAGTCTATTTAGTGACATGGTTTACTTTTCTCTGAAGTTTAAAATGGTAAAAACAAAAACAAACAAAAAAACAGCTACTTTGTGATTTTTTTTAAATAAGAAACTAGTTAACATGTTTGGACTATGCTTATTAATACCTCATCTTTCTGCAAATCAAAAACATGAAGAGGAAGGTACCCTAAGGTATGTATTTTGCTAAAGCAAATGCTGAAAAGGGGTGAAAATAATTCCAGAGACACCTTCACTTCTTCCTCCCTTGCCCAATATATGAAATAATAAATACGTAAATGACCTGTCCCTTTGCTTCATCTTTATGGTTTTAAGAACACACCGGTCACTTTGCAATACACTGACACCCGAAAGCTAGCTACTTTCTAGAAACTGTAATGCAGAAATAGTCCTGACCTGCTTATTCCCCGCCCTCCCCATCCCATGAGAAAACAGTTTAAGTTAAAGTCACAAAAGTGAGGATACACCAGAGTTTTTCTTAATCATAATATTAGCTAGTTGTGAATTTACTTTGGGAGGTAATTTCTTAAAACTTCTAAAAAGTACCAAAATTACAAAAAACACAACAAAATAAAAACCCATCACACGAGCTCCTTCCTGAACACCACAGGTTTTCTCTTCTGCCTGAATTATGACGGACAGCGTGGGTGCTTTGCTGTTCACAAAGTGATGGCACCCCACACTCGGCAGCCTTGTTTCTTCCATTCATCCATTCATCGCTATCAAGATGATGTTTATCACCCTAAGACGTCATCTGTAGGTTACTGCAATGTGAAATGTCTGTACACAATTAGTTCAATTGGTTTAATCCTGTTGCTAATGCAGCCAAGGTCAAGGATTTGATTCCACTGAGCTGCTTTAGTCCACAGCCACTCCTGACCACCCAGTCAGATACCCCACCCATGTGTCTTCTTAGTCCCCGAGACACAAACCAGAGCGAACAGATGGACACATCAAATCTACTACCTCTACTAGAAAAATGCCCTGGAGTGCAAGCCTCATGGACAGTTGGGCATTTTTTCTTTTTTCCATTTTTTCCTTATCATGATGAACACCACATGTAATGAGGAGAAATAACTTTTCTCCAGCATACATGCTGAGTGAGAGAAAAGCTAGAGCTGAGACTCCTCTACTGAGAATATTTATTCACATGTCAATGTGTTATAGGGCGCTTCATGGTGTAGTAGGACTGGGTTCATGATCCAGCAGAGAAAAGTGCCAGGTCCAAGATAGTTGATAAGCTATCAGGAGTTTAAACAAAAAATATGGCTCCTGGAATAATCAGTGAACGTCCATTATTAGTGGACTTGATCATATTATGATGATCCAAGATGAGCTAAACACTCTGAGTAAGATGTGCTTCCGTTTTCCAAAGAAGGGTATCATTTGGTGAGTTACATCTTCCCTGGCAATAAATGTTAGCTTAGTGTCCTGAACGAGATCCCTTCAGCTCCTCCCAGAAAAAGCTATCTTATTCATCACTTTCCATTTACCTTAAATAATCCAAAGCAGATCGTTTAAGGTAAAGTATTACAAAGAGTATTAGATATTTCAATTAAACTATCATCACTGTAAGAAACATGTCAATTTTTTATGTAAACGTCTTCTGAGTAGGCTTCCTCCTTCACACTTAGAAGACTCAGTGAGTCTAGAATTTGTAATAAAAAAAAAACAAAAACAAAAAAACTCAGAGTAATTCATTGTGAACCTTCTGTTTTTGTTTTGTCTTTAATTTGCTAAAAGAGTGTGGTACCCCCAGGAACCATGGAGTTTATGAATTGGCACCATTAATCTTCTGATGTCCCATTTGAAAATGATTTTTCATTTCCTCATTTGTCCCCAGCTAATAATTCCTTATAAAATGGAATCAGCCACCAGCATTGTTCCTTCATTTCCCCTTAAGATGTTATTGGTTTGCAGACTATAAGGCTGGAATGCAGACTTAAAAAAACAACAACGGCAAACAACCAAAATCAAAATTTCTTCTGAATTGTGCTTTGAAGTTGTTCTATGACCCCGGAGGCAAACATCACATTAACACAAAATTTCTCCTTCATACATTCAGTTATAAGTATATCCATAGTCTGACAGTGTTCCTAAGTGCATGGAGTTCTTCCTGCTTAATGGTCAACTTATATAAAATAAACATATATTTTATATGTAATGTAAATATATAGCTATATTACACATAACATATATAATATAAACATATACTAGTATAGTATATGCAATATAAATATATAGATATATTACATATACTATATATGTATATATCTATATATTTGGATACACACACACACACACATACACACTAGTATATATCTCTGGGGGAAAAAAGATCTAGCCCAAAACTGTTCAAAA